ACCTCATTTTCGGACACGAATTGGAAACGATAGGGTCGTCGGAAATCATAACTGATGTAGCATTAGGAAAATTCGTTGCTCAAATGTCTCCAGCCCCATGCAGGGACTACATTGACTACATGCAGCGAGCTGGTGAGGATAAGACGCTTGACAGAGCAACTGACGATGGGAACGCTGACAGCATCGAGCATAGAGAAAGGTTCTCCGGAGCAAACAAATCTGAGCAGCCAGTCCTGTGTTGAGTCAGGAGCTTCGTGCAGCGCACGAGAAACTTGCAAGGGCTCTAGGGTTCCAGCCAGGGCAGAATTCAATAGCTCCTGTTGGGCCAACTCGCACTTGGAGAGACTTGGCGCTCCAAATGGGACAGGCCTGCAGCAAAGCCTTCACTTCGTCCTGCGTGGGCAAAATCGCGACGCAACAAAATCGCGACACAAAAAAAAAAAAAAACAACCTATGGCAACTGGCATGTGATCTGCACTCACCAAGCCTCGGGATAGCCCAAGAGCTGCATAACTTCCGTGCCAAAGCCTTACAAGCTGCTACAAATAGAAGCTTGCCGAATGAAATCGCATTTGGGGTCCCTGCACAAGGAACTCTGTGCATTTACGTTACTTGGGGCCCTCATATTTGGATCTGCCCCCTTCAGTGGCAGAGGTCAGGCTTGGCGCTGTGTAGCTAACAGGCCTTTGACCACAGAGCCTTGCCACAATGCTTGGGGTTAAAGGTTCCAGGGAGATTCTCTACCCCATGCTCCTGGACCCACAGCTTGCCAAGCACAAGAGCTGAGGCACTGGCGGACAGCGATCATTGCGGGCATCAATGCCTCGCGGCAGGCTTCTTCGTACAGCTTGCTGGTAGGATTGCTCTAACCGTGAACAGTCTTGTTGCATCTTGTTGCTGTTACCCCTCCCCCTACTCTGCCCCCTCATTGTTTTACTGGTCGTAGTCCATACTGCTGGCAACGAGTGAAACTCCCACGTCTGCTGCCCAGACAAAAACAGAAGGCACAAACTCCAGGAGCCGATGTGGAGCACAAGCCTTAACGCCCAGTGCACTCTCCAGCCATTCTTTGTGCTCAGAGTCCTGGCTGTGAAAAGAGAGACGCGATTCCAATGTAGAGGCTTGCTCCGGGGCCAAGCGCCTTCGCTCTCACGACCATTGGCAGATCGGGATACTTTGCTCGAATGGCAGTTGCCACCTGCAGGTCAAATTGATCAACTCTGGCCTCCTGGGGCATTGTGTGCCTGGTTGGCTCGGTTCCGGCTCTCGTTGGCCACCACCACGACCCGAGCCTACAGCAAAACACGGTCGGCTCCACCAGGGCCATCTTTACTTTACGCTGCTGCATGCCCGCCTGCCCAATCTTGAAGACATCGAGGACCTGCAGGAAACTTTCACAGCTGGCTGCCACGCCTGAGCTTTATTGGTAAACAAAAGAAATATTGAACTGCGACTCTTGTCGTCTTTTTGCAACCATGGACTTCAAACAAGCCGGAACCGATGCCAGCAGCCCTGACTACACGAGTCGGAAATGCGCAACATAAGATATCTGACACTTTGTATATGTGCTGCGCAAATGTTTGTTTGTTGCTGCGTGCGGAACTTGGGACTGCTGAAAAGAGCACTAAAACTCGACGCAGTGCAATGTTGCACAACGCCACCAGATAAACTTTTGGTATGGTACATCCTCCAGCGCGGAAGAAAAGCGCCACTCTCACTCGCACCACTCGCACTCCTCAAGAGATCACGCTAAGCATCGTGTCGGGCCATGATGGAAACCTCATTCGGATGCTTGCACATCACTCATTGCAAGGCGCAAGGTGCAAGAGTTAGCTGCTTCTCTTTCTGCAACCGACTGACAACTCGCTGCGCGACCGTGTTCGTGGCAGGGAAAACACGCTTGATCACAGGAAGAGCTTGTCCAGGCTTCGGTCGTAGTTCGAACACGAAGTTAAAGACCTCTGAAAGACTGCTAAGTTTGCGGTGGATTGGCCCTGACTGACAGGTTGCCGAGACACGTTTGTGACCAAGCTGGATTTCCTCACTTTCAGAACACAGACTCCCTTATGCAGAAGTCAAACCAAGCGCTTGTCCGTGCGCTTTATGCATGCGAGTGGCTGGTCGGGCTTCAGAACGGACGCCGTCACCTCTACATGCAAAATTGGTCGGACTTTGGTATACGTCAGCATTACCCGTCCTCAGTGGCAGCAAGCTCTGCTTTCCAAACACAGTTGCACTCTGATACTCGTCTCTCAGCCCTCGAAGAATATTTGGCAGCAAGGAGCCGTTGAATTCACAGATGTCTCCAACCTCCACTGGGTGGATAAAGCTGACCTGCTGTCAGGTCAGCTGACTTTACCCAAACCAGACAGAGTGGGGCAGGCGTGCACAAGTCGCACGTGCTGCCAGTCAAGCTATGGCAAGCACCTCATCGACCTCCACAAAATGCGGAAAGGAGCCCGCAAACATGTAGGCAGTCGGAAACGCACAGCGATAGGCGCACCTGCCAGGCACCAGCGGGCACAAGAAAAGCTGACAACGACAATACAGCAAGCATCAACATGCATCAACACAAATCGTAGCGAGACATAGAATGAGGAACAACAACAAAGCATTCAATAGCATCCACCTCATGAGGTAACCACCAAACATGCGGCCAGCGGTGTTGCGCTGCTGCGGCTGGCAGATGATCATGGTCTCGCGCTGCGTCTGGTGAATCAGGACGGCGTCACCAACCGCAAGTCCAGGCATGTCCTGCCAATCCGAACAGTCTAAGCAGCCAGGAGTGCTGGTACAGAAGCATCCCGTCCTGAAGCAGCCGTCCTTGGTCCAGCAGCTCCTGAAGGGAGTTCACCAACGCTAACTCCAAACAGCTTGCACATGCGAACTCTTCTCAAGACTAGTGACTAGTTGTGCGGCCTTTCTGTCTCTTTTTTTGCAGCCGGGCTGAGCATGTAGCCCGGCCGAACATGCCTCTTGCCCTGAGAATTTGGTTTCCTAGTTCTGGAGGGAGCCTAACTGACGCAAACCTCGTGACGACAAGCAATCACATACAAAAAACACAAGAACGACACGAGGTCACGATGGCAGGTGCAAGCCCGCGCAGGCTTCTGAAGACAGTAGATGCTTGTTTTTGGAGACGGCGCCTGTAAGAGGCCGTGTGGTTGAACAGATTTTTGCAGCCGGGATAGGGAGGGTTTGGGGGGGATAAAACCATAATCTCGTTCGTGTTCCAGGAGCATACGGTTACCATTGCATCCATGC